GTTTCATAACATTTGGTTAAGGCAAACTAAAGTTAGAGAATGGAAACGAAAGATTCAGCATTTTTTCCATTTGTAAAGAGGCATAACTCTAGAACGGTAAAAGTGACGCCACCAAAATTCAAACTTGGTCTGTGTTTTGTGGTAATAAACATTGTGTATAAGTTTCATAACATTTGGTTGAGGCAAACTAAAGTTAGAGAACGGAAACGAAAAATTCAGCAAGTTTTCCATTTGTACGTACGTACAGACGGACAAGGGTAAAACTTAATGCCCCCTTCGCTAAGGCGGGGGCATCAAAATAAATGGATGAAAATAAAGTCATATAATTACATTTGATGATTTGTTGGATAGATATGTTCATTGCACAGCTGCATCTCGTCCAACATCTTAAATTCACTGTCAATTCTTGAATTTCCCACTGTGCTTATCAAAGAAGCTATGTCCTTTAACAATACCGATGGGCATTTTTTTGTCAAGAATTCACACTGGACAACTGTGAAACCTCGTCATGAAACAGAAATTCAAACGTTTGATTGGACGCAATTGTCAAATGATAGAAACTAACGTGTTCATTCATATTTCAGTATATTTATTGCTGGTCGGAACCTTGAACTTTGGCGAAGTGACTTCAGAATTGAAGGGTTCTGTTTCACACAAAAGCGCATTATTTATCAATGATTGATACAGATCTGATATGGCTAAAAGATATTATCCTATATAAACTTTCCCCAAAAATTCAGTCTAGTGCTCTAGGTATTTTGATCAATAGATTTTCAAGCAAAGTATGTTAAAGGCTGGACACAATGTTTTTCAAAACTAACAAGTGAAAAACTTGATGCTTACCAAACTTCACATTTATCGAGAGATAACGTTTTTATTTCAAGGGTTTAAAAAACCGGTTTGCTTGGATAAAAAAAATGTACTGTTAATGCTCATTTTTCACCTGTATAAATGCGTTGCAATTCATCATAGGATACTGAGTTACCATCCAAAAGCAATGACTAAACAACCCTATATGCTACAGGGAGTACAAAAACTCAGGTATTTAGAAACCAAATATATTACCAATATTTAATTCATAGTTCCAAATGTTCATACACTTGAAATATTTGGCGGGGGCTTGCAAACTTGCCAGGCTAGAAAAATACAAGAGACTCACAAGAGCTTGAATTGCTGACCAGAATTTTTTGTGTAGATCTTGCATCAATTATTATTTTGCTGCATAATATATAATAATGCGTGTTTAAACATGCCATTTAAAATTTCTCTTCATCTATCGTAGTTTTGTAAAAAACTAAAAAAAATGGTAACAAGAGTGCACACGCTGAAAAGTCTCGCCTGTTTTACTGACCATTGATTCTATGTTGAAAGTCTTAAAGATAAAGGTTTTACTAAAAGCATTACAGAAACTTAACATTAAAAATCTATGATAATGAGGTCAATGTCAGATAAATTGTGTCAGACAGACATATACACCTTACAATTTTATACACCAAATATAGTTGACCTATTGCGTATGCTAATTGAAAAACAGACCAAAACACAAAAACTTAACATTGACCAATGAACCATAAATATAAGGTCAAGGTCAGATGATACCTGCCAGACAGACATGTGCACCTTACAATTATTCCATACACCAAATATAGCTGACCTGTTGCTATTAATATTTGAATAAACTGCTTCGCTGAGCGCAGCTGGATACGCCCGCAGAGGTCCAACCCTGAACAGTTGGGGCAGAAATGGACACAATATTCAAGCTTGATACAGGTCTGAATTTGGATTGTATTAAATATTTGACATATCATAGGTTTCTGAATAAATGTAGTCAAAGAACTTGAAATTGGTTATATGAATTGAATTTATATTCAATTAAAGATTTCTTGCTGTTGTGTAATACACTGTGTTGTTGCGCAATACTCAGTAAATCTGTTGTCAGACTATAAACAATTAATTCTCAATGTCATATTAGAAATTTATGAAAATGTAAAGGGAGCTTACATCAATAGATATAAACAATTCACCAAAGTTTCATGAGAATTGCTGACAGCATTTTTGAGTTATTGTTCGAAAACTGGAAAATCCCCCCTTTTTTAATGAATAAAACCCCATAACTCAGAAATGTAAAATGTTAAATTTATAAAATTCTAAACGGAGCTTACATCAATAGATATAAACAACTCACCAAAGTTTCATAAGAACTGCTGAAAGCATTTTTGATTTTTTGTCCGGAACTGGAAAATCCCCCCTTTTTATGAATAAAACCCTGTAACTCGGAAACTTAAAATCTATAAAAATCGAAAGGGAGCTCATGTCAATAGATACAAACAATTCACCACAATTTCTTGCAAGTTGGTGAAAGCATTCTTGAGTTATTGTCCGAAAACTGGAAAATTCCCCTTTTTTTAATGAATAAAACCCCATAACTCGGAAACGTAAAATCTAAAATTTATAAAATTCGTAAGGGTTCCGCGGAACCCAGTGTCTCGCCTACTTTTTCTGTTAATCGCAGGCTCAACAAAAATCAGGAAGTAAATCAATAAAAATATTCCTCTTGATACTGTCTTCTGATTGTAAGAAGCTTCTGTCCAAGTTCGGTAAAAATCCAGGATAGTTTATGAATCTAATAAATGTTTAAAAACTTTAACTGCAGACTGAATGTAATGTTAACTGGAAGAAAACAAAATTTCCTTCTGGATACTACCATTTGATCATAAACAAGCTTCTGTCCAAGTTTGGTACAAATCCAAAATAGTATAAGAAAGTTATTAAAATTTTAAAAACTTTAACCACAGAGTGAATGTGTTGTTTCCTGGCAGAAAATCTAAGTCTATTTAAAAGTAAAATAAGGAAAAAATGAATTTATTTTTTTACAAAATGTCCTTCTAGATACTAGCTTTTGATCATAAACAAGCTTCTGTCCAAGTTTGGTACAAATCCAGGATAGTTTAAGAAAGTTATTAAAATTTTAAAAACTTTAACCACAGAGTGAATGTGTTGTTTCCTGACAGAAAATCTAAGTCCATTTAAAAGTAAAATAAGGAAAAAATGGATTTATTTTTTTACAAAATTTACTTCTGGATACTATCTTATGATCATAAACAAGCTTCTGTCCAAGTTTGGTACAAATCCAGGATAGTTTAAGAAAGTTATTAAAATTTTAAAAACTTTAACCACAGAGTGAATGTAATATTTCCCGGCAGAAAAACTAAGTCCATTTATAAGTAAAAAACGGAAAAAATGGAATTTTATTTTTACAAAATTTACTTCTGGATACTATCTTATGATCATAAACAAGCTTCTATCCAAGTTTGGTAGAAATCCAGGATAGTTTAAGAAAGTTATTAAAATTTCAAAAACTTTAACCACAGAGTGAATATTTGTGGACGCCGCCGACGACAACGACGACGACGACGACGACGACGCCGACGGAATGTAGGATCGCTATGTCTCGCTTTTTCGACTAAAGTCGAAGGCTCGACAATAAAACGAAAGGGAGCTCACATCAATAGATATAAACAATTCACCAAAGTGTTATGCAAATTGGTTAAAGCGTTTTTGAGTTAATGTCCGACATGTTGACGACGGACGGACAGACGGACAACGGTATACCATAATACGTCCCGTAAACGGGCGTATAAAAACAGACCAAAACACAAAAACTCAACATTGATCAATGAACCATAATAATGAGGTAAAGGTCAGATGATACCTGCCAGTCTGACATGTACCCCTTACAATCTTTCCATACACCAAATATAGTTGATCTATTGCTTACAGTACTTGAAAAAAAGACCAGAACACTAAAAATTAACAATGACCAATGAACCATGAAAATGAGGTCAAGGTCAGATGAAACCTGCCAGTCTGACATGTACCCCTTACAATCATTCCATACACCATATAGTTGACCTGCTGCTTGTAGTATCTGAGAAACGGACCTAATCACGTAATTTTAACCTTGATCACTGATCCATGAGTTGAGGTCGAGGTCAGGGTAACCCTGTCTGACAGACATGTAGAAGTTGCAAGGAACCCATATACCAAATATAGTTATCCTATTACTCATAAGTGAGAAATTCACATGACAAAAGGAAAAAACTTTTTTTTTTTCAAGCAGTCACTGAACCATGAAAATGAGGTCAAGGACAACGGGCATATGACAGACGGAAACTTCGTAACATAAGGTATCTGCATACAAGGTATGAAGCATCCAGGTCTTCTACCTTCTGAAATATAAAGCTTTATACAAATATTTTACCTGCCACCGGATAGTAATACCTGTCTCGCATACTGCTACTTTTGATGCAGGCGAGACAAAAACCATATTTTAAAGGCAATAACTCCTATAAAGGATACATTGATGATTTCAATCATGTTGAATTAGTTGTAGGCCTTACTTTGCTAAACATTTTTGCCAAGAAAATTTTCTGTCTATCTATCATAATTTCTGCAAAAAACAAAAAAATATAATTTCAATCACTTGTATATTAAGTTTGATAAAAATCCCACAAGTATACCTCAAATCATCACCCAGAAACAATTAGTTCTTCTTTTCAGTCTATTTTTAGCAGCTTTTGACAATTGACATTTTGGTCAGAAAATCTTCTGGATTCTACCCCTTCTCTATTGCTTCCATCTATACAAGTTTCATTAAAACCAAAACAGGAAACTAAGTAACCATCCCGAAACCAACTTAAAAAAATTCTAGTAAGTGACTTTGATCTTTGGACATATTGACCCTGACATCAATGGGCTTCTTTCCCCTGCACATATTTTTCATCTGTATAAGTTTCTATCCTCTCAAGCAAGGGATACTCAAGTTATCATCCAGAAACCATTTGTTTTGGACGCACAGATGGATTGACAGACAAAGCGATGGCTCCCAAATTTTTTTCAAGAGTATAAATATAGAACAGTTTTTTCTAGCATTCATACAACTTTGAGCTGTTTTACTGATGAAATGAGATTGGCGTAAAATTGATTAATAAAAACTGAAAACCGTTATAAAATGTGATTTATTAATGATATGACCATAAGCAATATGTATAGATATAAAATTCTGCATTCTGTACAAATATTTGCATATAGTTTTCAACTCATTGATACCAATAACATATAAATCAACAATATAAATATTCAAATGTGTGTAGTAATAGAGAAAAGTATATAAATTGTGAAAGAAAAAAAATAATTTCTATAAAACAGTAGCAAAACCATGGCTTTTTCTCATTAAGTTTTTTTTTTTTTTTGGGGGGGGGGGGGGGGACGGTAGATCAGGAACGGACAAGTTTGCACCCATTTAATCCCCATTGCTTCCTTCCCCTTTTAGTCCTATATAGCCACCTCAAACTGATTCCCCTTGTTTAATTAATTTTGCACGGGACGTCAAGCAACCAACAATCAATCTAATTAATTTTTCAGGCAAAAGCAAAACAGCAAAATTGGCCAACAGTTTATTCCATGTCAGACTTTAAATTAGTTAATGCTTGATCATTACAAGGTGCAAGAGCCTTCGTTCCATGTGCTTCTCACAATATCTTGACTACAACTTCCCAGCAAAGCTATGACAAAGTAAAACTGTTGATGTAAGGATCCCTATGGTGACCCAAAGATGCTGTTGGAAGATTTCTGATTTACATTCAAGTATCTCTATCATGTTTCATATATTAACAGGTAATAATTGTATTCTGTCCAGCTTTTATCAAAACAAAATGGATTCCAAATGCACTTCTTAATATTTTAAAAAGTGCATAAAACATCCTATAGAAATAAATATTTAGTAAAAAGTCTACATATAATATATTTCTTTAAGACAAAAAAGATTGTCAATATACACTGCAAATAAAACCTTTTGGCTAGGTACTACCATTTTTCATAGTAAAGAGGTATACAAAAACTTCTCATTTATAACATATGAAAATTAAAAATATTTTTCCTAAAAAAATATGGTTGATGCTTTAATTTCAACATATATCAATCATTAAGCAATTTTACAGCCAAATTAATGTCATGTCTCTATCCTTATTATAACATCTATTGAATAGTGTGGAAATATGTATCTTGTTGAATAGTTCAATTTTGGTTCTTCTATTCCCATGAAATCCTCAAAAAAATTAAAACTATTGAATAATCATGAATCCTCATTATACTTGAAAAAAATATAGAAATACGGTTTTTGATTTCTCTGAAAAAGCAATCAAAGAAATTTGAAATTCCTTAAGCTTATAATCAATCTAAGTTTCAAAATATGCACAAGTCTACAATAAAACACATCTTTAATGAAGGAAATACATGTACTCAAGGTTTTGCTAAACTCTTTTAATATCCTGTTAAATAATTCATTTCTAAGGATGATTTAGAGAGAAAAAATAAATAATGCTAAAATTGTGTGTACACACCTGCAAACATGTATATATTTCAGTCCAAATATTAAAAACATTTAAATAAATAACAAGAGAAGCCTTCTTGTTTCTGATATGACCCTTTTAATTACATCCCTTGGTACATGAACGCAACTAAATATCTAGTGTGGTTAATCATCTTGCATATCCAAGTCTTTTTTAAGTGTTCTCTTTATAAAATAACATCCAATTAATTTTGAATTGTATAATTATAAATTCGTTATCTTCTATGGGTTGAAAAATAACCGAAAAGCAAGATTTCAAATATGTAATATCTAGCCATTAATAACTAAAAAGGTAATGAATGCAAAGATAGCAAAAACAATATCTGTAAATAATTAATTTAAAAAATATCTGGCCTAAATTAAAATCTATAATGTACAACCATTGTCATAAAGCAAGCAATTCATTTTTACAGGACTGATATAAGAAAGGAAGCATGCATTATAGCAAAAGAATAATTAAATACTATCCAACATTGTATATGTGTATGTATATATATTGATCCTAAAATTAAATATTCATTAACCAGTTTTAATATTTCCAGTCAACAATATTGCTTTAGCAAAAGTTAAAAAATCTTGTTGGATGGTTTCATACAACTTTGAAATTTACAATTACATTCCCCAAAATATTTGTACTTCAAAACAAAATCTATCATAAAACGACACATTTTTTAGAAGTTATGAATCTATTAAAATATATTTTTCATGCATAACACAGGTTATTTTTAAATTAGAAAATTTCAAAGCATACTTTCAACTAAATTGTCTAAGAGCTGTTTCAATACCATAATGATTTTGAGAAAAAGTGTAAAGGTTGTAAAACAGATTCTATTAATTCACACTTTAAAGCATACAAAACCTATGACCGTTGTTAATTATGTGAAATCAATTTGTGCAATTCTTGAACATGTCAAAATAAAATATATTAATTCTGTTGTATTTTGATACATAATTTGCAGTATCACTATTTTCTGATTTACTTCAAAAATGAATGAGCATTTTTACAAAAGTTACAAAATTGCATTTGTTATGACATTTTACAAGATTTTTTTTTTCTTTCTTAATACAATCCTTCTATAAAAAATATCTACTTAAACAAAAATTGACATCTTTAAAGAATTCAACACTGTACAAAAACAAATCTGTATAACAAACATGTGTAAGATACAGAAAATAAATAAATTAAAGATAAGAAAGGTCAAATCAAATTAATTTTATTATTGTCAAAAACTACCTGTACCAGATGAAAGTTTAAACATAAAAAATTCCATTTCCAGAGAAATATTTTTCTTATCCAAAGTCTTCTTGGCAATGAACATATCTAATAAAACTATTATTTGTGCATTTTTTTAACTGATGCAGTAAATTTTTATTTCTTTTATTCTTAATGTATTTTATTTTTGAGACTTTATACTTCTTCAGAAATTTGTAAACATCTGATAACAACAGTTTAGTTTCACATATAAAACAATTGCTCTTATTTTATTATTTTAGTAAACACATTGCATGTCATTAAAAAAAAAAGAAGTAATTTTGCCTTTTCCCAAATATGAAGACAGATACATTTTGAGTAGAGGAAACCTAAACATTTAAAATTAAAAAACCTTTGTGAACACGCTCACATACCCCATGCCCCCACATTGTCACTGGACAAACCAAATCTCACCAGATTCCTAAGTTCAAAGACTCATAACTCTACAAAAGTCAACTGATAAAAATATTCTTGTGGATATGCACATTAACATATTGTCTTCATTAACTACAAAGTTTCATGAAATTCTGTTGTGTGGTTTCAGAGAGTTGCGATTACAAACTGTTGCAGTAGTATATTTAGGCCAACATTCTAAGTTCAAAGGGGCATAACTCCTAGAAAAAAAATTGAATCATAATTTCCTGTCGATATGCACATCTACATAGTATGTCCTTATTATCTACAAAGTTTCATGAAACTCTGTTGTGTGGTTTCAGAGGAGTTGCGATGACAAACTGTTGCAGTAGTATATTGAGGCCAATAAGTTCAAAGGGGCATAACTCCTAGAAAAAAATTGAATCATAATTTCCTGTCGATATGCACATCTACATAGTATGTCCTTATTATCTACAAAGTTTCATGAATTTCTGTTGTGTGGTTTCAGAGGACTTGCAATGACAAGAACAGGACTGACGGACTGACAGACAGACAGACAGATGGACGGACAGACAGACGGACGGGTCAAAAACATTATACTCGACGCAATACATTGCGTGGGGTATAAAAAAATACACACCTTAGAATTGAATGCTTAACATAGAGTTTTCATTTGAAGGTTAAAGAATTTACTATAACACATTTTGAATAAAGTGGATATGCTTCAGGTCATCATTGAGGTTAAAGTAGTTTTTGAAACTCTTGTTACTAGATTTTTCATTTTCCATCTAGTGTTAAAAGAGTAACTAACAACCTTCGATGTTACTCTTTGGGGAAAAAAAAGAAAAGAAAAAATTACTTGTCTTCACATAGTTGTGAAAACTAAATTGCATAGGCATATCATATTTTTTCCTTTGAATTAAGGGGGTTAAAGCTATGCATTAATTTATTCTGACCTTTCAAAATTATACATGTTGCATGTTATTTGTTCTCTGTTTAAGTGTGTAAATATGTAACAATGTATAAACAATATAAAATAAATGTTAGGAATTCACAATAGAGGTATTTTCCTTTGCAGGTTCAACTTCCAGATTTTCAGTTATATTCTCTATTTGTTCTTTCTGATTTTCTATATTTACTTCACCATTTTCTACCACAAGAGGCTGTTTTTCAATATCTTCCTCTTTTTCACTTATTATAAACTGCAAACATAAAAACAATTAATTCCGAGTTCCTATTCTTAATTTACAATATTCTAAGGTTTTTCCCACAGAATTTCTCTAGGATCTTCATTTATTTTCAAGGTTAGTATCAGGAAACCAAGACAAAGACGAAGAAAAAACTAATTTATTACTTTGGACTGTTAAACAAATGCCTTAATGGACATTCTTTTATTGTTTTGTACATAAATCAGACCGTTAGTTTTCTCGCTTGAATTGTTTTACATTTTTCATTTCAAAGCCTTTTATAGCTTACTATGCAGTATTGGTTTTGTTCATTGTTGAAGGCCATAGTGACTTATAGTTGTTAACCTCTATGTCATTTGGTCTCTGGTGTGGAGTTGTCTCATTGCCAATCATACCACATCTTAATTTTATAAGCCTTCCTGTACAGAAATTGTCAATGCCAGTCCATTACATTCAGAAATTTTTCAAAGACTTTACCAGATATTCTGAAGTAATTGCAAAAGGGAAATACTCAAATGTAAAACAAGCTATCAAATGTCAGAAATTCAAGGATTTTCTAGAATTATCACAATTTCCCCAAATTTCAAGGGCTTTTCCATGCATTGAACCACTGAAATATAATTCAAGGCCTTTCTTTCAATTTTCAAGATGGTATGGAAACCCTATTAATTTCACATTTTTAGAAAATCTCGTACAAAAATACATTATGTCCACTTGGAGATGATAATCAGAGGTATTTATGTGCTGAAGTTCACACTGTTAATCTTTGCATGAAAAAAAAACCCAGAAGAAACAAATCTTTGAAGGTTCTATAGGTGACTTGTTATACAGCTTATACTTTGACCCTACATAATATGCCAACGGCGGTCTAAATCATTTGCCCCTTTTACCAAAATATCTACCATAGCATTTCTATGAATCTATTTATTATCTTTTTCTAATCCTGAATATCTTAGAAATATTTGCTGCTTTACATAATACAAATACAGTTCCCAAATCACATGCAATCTCCCAAACAAAAATCTTTTGTGTGATGCAATCTGACCTATGAGTAACTTGTCCATTTTTTAATATACATGTTTATAAAAGAAGATGTGGGGAAAAGGTCAATGAGTAAGCAACCCAACAACAAAAATAACAAAAACAAATAGAGGGAAGCATACAGACTTCAACAATAGTCAGGTGTCTATAAAATGGGCCACGCTCTGAAGCTTCTTACATTATTCAAATTACTTTTTGATGGGCATGTTAAAAAAAAAGGTGACACAATAAACTTTCTTTTCTATTAAAGAAAAGAATTTCCCTATGGCTGGCAAATAAACTTATTTCCATCAGAAACTTACAAAACTTGCCCGATTGAGGAACAAAGACACAAATGGACAATAAAACAGGCAAAAGGGACAGACTCACAGAGATTGTTCAATTTCTATCATATGCAACAAAGTAAATGAACTTCTTACTCCCACTTCTACTCGACTCTGTATTGGAATATTTAAAACAATATTACAATTCAACTATAAAACCAAGGAAAAATGTTATCTAAGATTTGAACTGCATTTGATTTCCAAGTAATTGGGTATCTAAATCAACAAATACCAAATTTTTAGTAGGGACATGAACAGCTGATTTGATTGAAACCACATATCAATTAACCAATAACTTGTCCAGACAAAATGTACTTTTTCTATGTCTACTTTGATTTTTGCACTATTGGATTGCTGTCTAATTATTATATACTCGCCAACTTCTTTCATCTACATAAAAGTGCTTTCACAATACATGTCTGATTAAATTTCATTCTTTCTAGTATCTTGTTCTTAAAATCACTTACCTGGTTGAGGTAGACCTGAAAAGTACAAAAGATTTCATTAAAGTCAAAATCCAACAAGTTTACCTTGATTTCATGTTGTTGATTTGTACTTTTCATGAGGTTAAGTACAAAGTATTACTAAAAGGGGTAAGTTGTTTGTTAATATTACTCTATCATAGGAAAAGTTTATAAAAGATACATTCTGACTTCAACAGACCCTATAACTGTCATAAAATTCTTAATCATGAAGATCCAATTATCATTAAGATTCTTTTTGTATTGCTTAGGTCCTCATTATCCATCAAAAGTAACTTGCCTTTAAACATTAAACCTGTGGCTTTATAAAAAAAAATCTAATTAGTTTTTTAAGTCTTTCAAACAAACAAAATAAATAAAACAGCTATCTCAGACTTTTTTCTACTTTCTGGCTTTACCAAACAGAAATGATTTTGTAGAACATTTTTTTTATGCTGGCCTAAATGCAAGTCCATATATTACAGGACTTATCATGTTAGATGATACATTTTTATCACTTGGTTCAATTAAAACAGATCTGTTTTGTAATATTGTAAGCTTTATAAGAACACGACTAAAGTGAAAACAGCAAGTTATTTGACATAAATACAAATGCATTGGTGAATCTGAAGTTCTGAACAGAGGCTGACATTATTTCATCAAGACTTTTTTGAGACTTCTATGGTGTTTTCATCAAATATTTTTTCGTCCCCAAAGCTCCATTTATCATAGATGAAATAGTAGCAATCGAAATAACCATCTGACAAAAAACATACCTCATAATTATTGCCAATAAGATGTTGCATTTCATGTTGAACCAGTAGATCTGATTGGTCCAACTCTCTATCACAGTACTGGCAGATGTATACATCACTCTTCTCTCCATTTTCCGACTCAGTGTTTTCTTCTTCCATTTTGATGTCTTTTTCTGATGCCTGTTCTTCCGAATGATCTTTAGCTACAGTTGGTGATATAACAATTGAACTGTCTTTAAATGAGATTTCATTGTCTGTATCACTTTCAGAAGACTTTGATGCTTCAAATTGTTTATTTTCTTTTACTGGTGTCATGTCTTCATCAGCGTTTTCAACTCCATTCATCTCTTTCTGTGCTGGGGAATCACAGGACTCTTCATCCATTTTTACTTCTTCCTTTTCTTCTTTCTCTCCATTGCATTTTTCATCATTTTCTTCAGATTGTTTTTGCCCATCACGTTTGAACAGCTGTGCTACATATAATGCCTCACTAATATCTGGGTCTTTATTCTGTTTAACTCTGTCCAGCTGACCATTCTCTGCTAACCAATTAGACAATTCTGGGAGTGGACAGAAATGAACACGGATGTGTTGTGACAGGTGGTGCGTCTTGGAAACACTGTAGTCACAGTATGGACATGCAAGATTACTTTTAAGCATGTGAAATTTCAAATGTGTCAATAAATGGTCTCTTCTCACATTTGCATATGGACATCTATCACAGCGGTAAAGTTTCTTCGGCTCAATATCAAACTGGTTGGAATTTTCATACAATTCAATATGGTCATGTGTGACACTAACTTTGAAAGACTCTTTTGTGTCAATTGGTGGTAAAGCACTAGCCAAAGCAACATCTGCCGGTACCTCTGGTAACTGCATCAAATTGGATAATGACTGTATAGCTAAAAGGTTCTGATTTGGAGTGCAATGTAGCCTTTCATGTTGAACCAGTAGGTTTCTGGATGGAACACTGTAATCACAGTACTTGCACATATGTCGTTGTTTACTTCCATGTATTTCCACATGCCTCTCATAGTGAGATCGTTTAGCACTGGCATAAGGACATTTTTCACAGCTGTATTTCTTAAACCTTGCTATCTCATACAAAGTATCGACTTTGGTCTCAAACTGAATGTCAGAAATATCAGAATCTTTCTCTGTGTCATCTCCTGTATAGTCATCAACCTCTGTCTCTGTACTAGATTTTTCTGCATTATCTGCCATGTATGAGGGAAGGTGTACCTTCATGTGATGTGAAAGCAATCCCTTGGATCCAACATAGTAATCACAGTCAGGACATTTCATCAGCTGGTTTTTACTTTTCCGGAAACCATGCATCAATTCATGGAGACGCAAGTTTCTAAGTCTAACATTCTGATATGGACATTTTGAACATTTGTGAATTTTTCTATAGCCTCCATTTTTCATGATGTATCCTGGACGATTTCCAACTGTGCATGCAATTTTCATGGGTGACATGACTGGAGAGTGAGAAATACTTGGTTGAATCTTTGATGAAATTATCTTTTGCTTGTACATGGCTAGTTGGACTGAATCATAAACATGGCTGGACTCTGAGAAATCAGATTTACATGGGGATGACTGTATAGATGATGTGGATGACCTTCTGTCTTTGTAATCTGCTTCATGAACTTTCTTGTGTTGTTTAAGAAGTCGCCTTAGTCCTACCCAGTAATCACACTCATCACATTTAAACTCAGAAGTTGGCTTGGGTCTGTGAAACTGTTTGTGATAATAGAAATCATTCTTACTATTAGTTCTGTAAGGACATTTCTGACATTGGTGACGCTTTGTTGGTGTTGGCGGCTGAATAAATACAGAATCCTCTTTGGTTGACGTAGATGGTAGTGGTTCTTCTAAAGTTTGTTCAACACTCTGCGTCTTTCTTTGTTCTTCAAGATGGAGTTTTTCATGCTGCTGTATAAGACGTGGTGCCCTAACATAGTATGGACAATACCTGCATTTCTCTTGATGAATTCCAGTTTGAGGCTTGTGGCAATTCATGTGTAGTGTCAACAAATTATTTTTAGCAGTCCTGTATGGGCAAACAGTACACATATATTGTTTTAAGTCTTTTTCTTCTTCATCTAATCCATTATTTTTCACAATCTTCTTTATACATTTGATGTGTCGTTGGTAGTTAGTGGATTTATGTTTTTGCCGAATGTGACGACAGACACATGATCTCCAAGTTGACTGGAATGTACAAAGTTTACATTTAAAAGTTTCTTTGAATGTGTAAGTATCCTTGATTTCGTCTTTTTCTTCTTCCTTATCTGTTTCATCAAGAGTGGTTTCAAAGTCATCTTCAACATCTTCTTCCATTTTTAAATTTAAATTTTCATCTTCTGTATTATCATCTACAGCATTTTCAAAACCTGGAAAAAGTTGTCCATTTTCTCCAACAGCTGCAGCACTGCTGGTATCTACATTAATTCCTTGAGCTTTAGCCTTTTCAATAGCTGACTTCACATAGGTGTGTCTAGATGGATCGAATCGAATGTATTTAATTCCAATTTTACAGATGCTTATGTTTTCAGTTTCATGTCTTTGTTTAATATGACGGTAGGCGGAACTTCTGTGATTGGTTGCATAAAGACATTTCATGCAAGTGAATGCCCGTACTCTGTGACGGCTGTACAAATGTCTTGCTACTACCATTTTATCTTTGTTGACAAAAGAGCATCTAGCACATTTCCAAATTTTCCCCATTTTATCAGCCTCACTATGCTTTGGTCCCTTAGGTCTTGGTTCTTTGCTTTCGTTTTCTTTCTCTCCTGACTCACCTTCTCTGACACCACTTCTCCTTCTTTTTCTTGGATTGTAATCATATGTAGTCAAACTTTCCTTTGCTGCGTCAATCGTCATAATTATCAGATGTCCTTTCGTTACACCATGCTTTCTTTTAATGTGCCTTAGCAAATCACTCCTCCAATTTGATCGATATGGACATGCAGAACATTTAAACTGTCTGTAAGCACTCCTATTGAAGTTTATCAACCCATATTCCTTCTCATTAACTTTTGTACTTGGATGTTTCTTTACTGGTGAAGTATGGACAGATTGACTGAATTCTTGCATATATGACTCATAGGTTGCTCTGGCTTCTGCCTCAGAAAGTGTGATTATATGTGATGGTGTATTTGGATGTCTAATTCTCATGTGTTTGCTCAAGTCCCATTTCCAGTTTGATCGTCTACCACATTCTGAGCACATGAAAGGTTTGATGTAGCCAAATGTTTTAGGATTAGCCGATATAAGACCTGCTTTCTTGTTGCCCATCTTTGGTGAAACAGTTGCCATATCCATCTTCTCCATATCCATTTTTTCACTTGGTGGACCAATAATGTAGGGGTTCTCAACCATACCAGAATCAAGCATTCCATCACCAACATATATGATACGAACTTCACTTCCAGGGTGCATGTAATTATAATGCTTCTTCACATCACCTTTTAGCGCTGCACGCTTTCCACATTCAGCACACATGAAAGGCTTAATATCAAGAGGTAGGAATTTTTCCGGTGATGTTTCATTGACTTTGTGTGGTTTCATTGCCATGTTGGATTTGGGTCCTTGGTCATCTTTTTCTATTGGTACAATCCCATTATCGGTAATGTAGCCTACTTTCACTGGCATATTACGATGCATGTAGTAATAATGTCTAGCAATATCTGCTTTACTGGCACACTGTTTCCCACAGTCCATGCAGATGAAGGGTTTGTCAGACATGGAGTCTTTTTTGGGTGGTGTGATTCTTGCTTCATTGTTCACATTAGGTACATTTAAAATGGTTGTCGGTATTGGACTGCAGTTATTGTCCATTCTTTCATTGCTGATTACAAAAGGTTCTATTTGTGATTCATTTGCTGTTGGCAAAAGAGTCATCATGTTACGATTGATGTTATTACCCTTGTAGATGATACTAACTTCTAGGTTTGGATGTACTGTGCGAATATGTTTGCTGACAATCCACCTTTGGTTAGATTCATATCCACAGGCACTACATTTAAAACATTTTCCATTTTTTATTTCAGAAGTCTCATCCAGCACAGTCTGGGGTTGGCTAAGGGCAACATTCAAATGATGCTCACGTCTGACAACTGGATTAGAATTCAGATACTTTTCAATGGTAGCTTCTGCCTCCTGTCGACTAAGTTTGACAACATCATGTGACGTCTCAGGGTGGGCCTTTTTTATGTGTTTACGTATATCCCATTTCCAATTTGCTCTCCTTCCACATATTGGGCACATATACTGTTTCAGATTCATATGAGTTGAAACATGTGCTTTCAACTTAGACGGTGCATTTGTTACAAATGTGCAATATTCACATTTAAATGATGTAACATCCCCAGTATTTCCACTTATGCTATCATTTTCAGGTGAAAGTTCCTTGACTGGAGAAGGTTCATGGCTTGATGGTTCAGAATCATAATATGACATGTCTGTTTGTTCATAGCTCTGTGCCAATGGTTCATAACTTTGATCCATGCTGTTTTCTGGTGTATCATTCATCATATCCATGCTGTAATTGTTTTCATACGATTCATTCATCTGACTATCCATCTCAAACGGAAGTTCTTTGCTTGCAGTCAACTTTTCATAATCAATCGTAATAACATTGTCAAGGATAGTGTCATCACCCATAATCTCTGGATGGTGTTTGTACATGTGGCGTCTTATGTCTCCTTTCCAGTGCGTCTGGTAATCACAGTAATTGCATCTGTAAGGCTTATTATCAATGTGATACTTTGAATGTCGATCCACTTCAGTTTTCCACTGTGAAGTAAATGGACATGCAGGGCATTTGAATAGTGATGGTGAAGATTTCTTATTGGGTATAGTTGGTACTCTTATCAAGTCCCCTGCCTCTGGTTCTTTCTTATGGTCTCTACGAATGTGAACATTCAGGTCCCCAACATATTTGTACTGCTTATCACAGTGTGGACATCTGTAACGTCTCTCAATCTGATGAATTGCTAGATGTTTCCTGAATTCATCTTGCCATTTGGCCTCGTATGGACAGTATGGACATTTCAAACCTGTGTCAGCAAAACTGCTGTCCATCTCTGGCAACTGATTGTCTACAGCATTACCATTATCATCCATGACCTGGTTTTGTGCAGTATTTCTCATGGAATTGTCTTGATGATTTGGTGCTGGTATAAGAGGAGGAGGAGGAGGTAGAGAATCAGTTGGTGCTGGTGGTAAATCTAGGGCTTGTGATTGTACCATTGTTGGTTGTTGGTCCAAATAATCTTTCATCCTAATGTTGTGTTTTTGTTTCATGTGTCTATTCAGATCAGAAGAACGTTTGTATTTCAGACCACACAATGGGCAGACAAATGATCCATCAGCTCCTTGCAAAATGGCTGCTTGTTTTGATGCTAATTTTTCTCCTCTTTTTGCTGCTTGTTTTGATGTTGATGGATAGTTGAAACTGTCATTGTCGGTAGACCAGTTCAAACTTGAATTGTTGTAGTTTGACATAAAACTGTTATCATTGTCACCATAGTAATCCAAAGATGTATCAGCATTGTATGTGTTTGTATGTGCATAATACTGTTCAGTTCCAGTATTCTGGACACCCATGACAAAGTTCCTTCCAGCTGTAGGAGCTTCTGTCATCATGTCATCATTTTGAGGTTCTTCGATGTAAGCTGAATCATTACTGAAACTACCCTGAGATGACATCTGAAAATTGTCAACAGGGTTTTCATGGCTGGTCTGTACATGCCTAGTTATGGCAGTTTCTGTTGTAGAAGAAAAATTACAAAGCTGGCATCGGAACATATTATCTGCATTATGATTTTCACGATGACAGTCAAAGTTCTGCTTATTATCAGTTGAATAAGAGCAATCACCACACTGTAGTGCTGGCAACTTCCTGTGCTTGGCCTTGTGGGCTACAAATTCTATTTTCCTTCCAGTTGTAAATGAGCACATGGTACACTGGAACAGTTTTGCATTCAAATGGTTAGTAACAACATGTTTTGCTACTTTGCTCTTATCGTTGCTATTAAAAATACAGTATTCACACTTGTATACTTTTCCTTCAATTCCAGGAACTTCCGTGATGTGTTCCTTGTTCTCATTGGGAGTCTCTGGTGCTTCTGGCAGTACCACTACTACATCATCGGGGATTTCCTCCTCAATAGTACTACTTGTACCAACCATGTCATTCAAATCAACAGTGTTGTTTATATCAATATTGTATTTAAACCTTGGATCATTCTGCTCTTCCTCTTTTTCTATTCTCTCTTCAACACGACTCATTTCATCATTATATGCCACCTGCACATCAGAGAATGCAACTTCCTTTTTGTGTATAAGTTTTAGATGTCTCTGTACTTTCTGTTTGTGTTTGGATGAGTATTCACATTCTGTGCAAGTGAATATTGAATATGCCTTTCTGTGAACCTGAATCTCATGATAGAGAAATGCTTTTGATTTGGTTGTTGTGAAGCTGCAATTTTCACATTTATAATTACGTCCTCTCTTGCATGGGCTGATTGAAGGGGAAGTCTTTTTCCTGGTACCATTCTCCTTTATGGCCTTTGTTGGAGATGACAAATTATTGGAAACTGAACCAAACACTGATGGTTTGATTATTATTTTGGTGCCTCCTCCTTTAATCTTTTTCTTATCTCTTCTACATCTTATCCTATGTCTTTTGAAAATGTAGGCATTTTTGTTTGTGAATCCACACAAATCACATTTTCTTGCTGGCTGCTCTGATGCTTTAGTCTTTCCCATGGTTCATCTGGAAATAGAAAATATAAATGCAAGTTTACTTTGCAGTTCTTTAAAATGATCAGTTTGTAATAAATATGTTTCTGGCTTCTATGAGCTCATTTTGACCCAACATATCAATTTTTGATTATCATGATTAATTGAAAAATACAAGAACTGGTAATTGATTATCTGCATCCTCAAACTTTCAAAGGGTCACATAACTTTATTTCCTATATTCCTTTATTTAGTTTACTTTATTTAAGTCAAATACTTAAAAAGTTTTATTGTTTTACTGTCAACTCTAACATGAATAGTGGCATTTTAATTGAATTATTCAGCAATAGAGTTATTCCCCTTAGAACAGTGAAGCTACATTTGCAAGAAAGCACATTTCTTTGTAATGCATCTTTTTCTATACCTATTTGATTATCTAACTCATTATCAATGTTCAATTTAGTTTTTTTCTCTGTACCAATTTTTTTTAGAGGTTGAAAAACCTCTTTTAGCTTTGAAAGTTCAGCAAGTATGGGATTTTAAATAGCTGAGATCTGAATTTGAATTTCAGATGAAAAGGCCATAAATATGTAAAATTTAAAAACTTAATACAGGAAGTAAAGAGGTGGTCAAAAATTGGTGATTATGGTAATGCCTTTGATATGATTGGTTGCTGTTTGCTTATTTTCTATTTATAGTTTAAGTCTTTATAATGGACCAATTTCAGAATGTCTATTTCATAAAGGGGAATTTCTTGACACTTTTGATTGGTCACAGTGTCATTTTATGATGCTGAGAATTACAATTTCTTGGATTTGAATGAGTGATTATGATTTTTGTACATTTTTCTTATCTCTCCTACATCTAACCCTACTTTATTTGAAAATGTAGTCATTTTTAGTGTAAATCCAAACAAATTATTGTTTCATTGCTGACTGTTCTGATGCAGAGTTAGAAAATACAAAATAATTTTGACCATGTAATTTATGTGAATAGAAGTTGTATTTATAAAATAGGCCATTATCACTGTATATACATACAGCAGATACTACTGTTAACTGGCATCAAACTAATTATTCTGATCAGCTACAATTAAATAACAAAACAAGAATCTATTTTAGTGCACTGTAAATTGATGTTGTGGTACAGCAAATTCCCTCTGAATCCCTGCAACATGTTTGCTATGCTTTTGTTTGTGTAAATAAGCCATTATGTGCCAGTTAACAGCAATCTCCTTTGTAAATTGCAGTGTTCTCCTGATGATCCTTTTTAGCATCATTGTAATGTGATGCTATATTAATGTTATGTGATGCTATCTGAAATGATTTTCTTATAATTTTTATTATGGATATGATGCTGTGTTTTCTAGAAACAAGACAGTATCTCAAAATTCCCTTTTCCTTAGGAGTCAGTATGAAATGAGTGGGGGAGAACATTGCACAATGAGTGATTGTGGTTTGACATATCAAGGCAAACATGTTTTTCTGAAGTATTGAGCTTTGATAACATTAAACTATATCCTACTATTTTTAAATCATTTTAATAGAACAGAAACCAGACACAACAAATAGACTGTTCACATTTATACTAGCCTCAGATAGAATATATTTAGTATTTTACCGTACATAGTATTGAAATCAACTTCACCCACCTATGATTTATTTAATGTTTGTTGATCTGATTTAATATCAAATTCCTTTTAAGGTAATGCAGATTTATGTCTACACAAATCTTTATTCTGGATTCATGTTTATTTAAGTAATAATCAGATAAATTCTTCTACAAATTAAATGAGGATTACATGACTGTACATATATAATGGATTTACCATCTCATGTTGATGTGTAAATGAAATAAAGGTCTACAATGTTTGTGCTTTTTTCTCTGGTCATTAAAAAATAAAACATATTTGTTACTAGTCCACATTGGGATTGTTTCAGAATCAAATAGCCACACTGAATAAAATTTTAGCATTTTCTTAAATCACTGTATAATGGCAGCAAAACAACTATGTGTTTAAGTGTATAAATAAAAGAAGAGTGGGGTTACACATCAATAATGTTACATGAATGAAATGTTGTGCTTGTAAGAAAACATGTATCATTTTTGCTATTTTGATATGTGTGTGTAAATTAATTCCTCAGTCAATCTAACCTTAACTGTATTATACATTGACATTTTGTATGCAACTCGAAGTGAAAATGCTACATAAAAGTACAGAGGTTGAAAATGACCTTATAGATTTTCTGCTGGACACTTTAAAAATATTACTTATGTATGATGTAGCTTTCAGCTTTCCAAGATAATTTTAAAAAACATCTTTCCTTTTTCAATTTCTAAAAGTTTTACAGACTTGAGACTAATTAGTCAATAATGCAAACCATATAAATGCTTATAATTTCATTTAAAAATTTAACATTTTCATAAACTGTCAGAAATTCTCTTTCATTTCATCTGAAATTACAATACGAAGCCCTGACCCTTTGTAAAAAAATATCCTACTTAATTGAACTCTGTAGAACTAGGAACTAAAGGGTTCCATAAATTTTGACAACAAAGAATAATTACATCAGTGTGAGCTTTTGAAGACATCAGGGTCACATACATGCATACAGTCACTGAGTGTTTGTTTATGATTTAATTTTAGTTATATAAATGGTATTTTCTATAATAATTTACTTAATCTGTTTTTATCATTTACAACAAACTTACAACTGAGAAATCATCAGAGATCCTCCTAAACCTCTAACGAGTGTTGTACTTTAGCTTGGATCTGTTGTCATGGAATTGACAATTTTTCATATCTCCCAAACTTTTTTTTAAAATGAGTGAGGTAGACATTAATTAGATCGAAGATCAACGAACATGATTCAACATCATATACTCATCAGGACAGAGCCACTATGATATACAACAAGTTGAACTGAGAGCTATTGCTCACTAACGATACCCCCGCTTTACAGGTAAACAGGAAGTTGATGAGCAATGGATGTGAAAATGCAGGACTTAGTACAGTATGTTCACATAAATGTTGATACCAAATTTCAAGATGATCTGATAAGTAGATCCATAAAAAAATGTGACAAAATTTTCACACATTGTCACTATGTGTAAGAATGTCTAAGTATAAGGTAAACAGGAAGTTGATGAGCCATAAATGGGAAGATCCATCACACAGTATAGCATGTTCATATAAAGCCTGGTAATAAATTTCAGGAAGATTTTATTTGTAATTCCCTAAAAAAAATGTGAGGAAAAAATGTCCGATATGGCCAATATGTGTCAGAATACATTATATTCAGTAAACAGGAAATTATTGGGAGATGAATCTGAAAATGCATCACACAATATAGCATGCTCATATAACATATATATAAGACTGATACCAAATTTCAAGGAACCTCTGATTTGTGATTCCTTAGAAAATGTGTCAGAAAATTCATGGGATGGAGGGACATACAGGGGTAAAACTAAATACCCCTCTTTGAGAGTAAGGGTATCCAGATTTGAGACACCCACATAAACAAAACATTTCTTTATTATTTTTCCCATTTGAACTTAACTTTCTTTGTCATTTAAAAGAGATGTTGAGTATATTAACAATGAGAAGGCATCCAATACATAATCTAAACAGAAAACAGAACATACATAATTCATAAGCTCTGCATTTGCAATAAATGGACACGACAAAGACAACAATATTTTGTATTGTTTCTCCTAATCAGAAGCAGTATGTAGATTAACAACTTTAAGATAAAATAGCGGGAACTTTTTTCTTTAAAGTTCTCTATCAAATTGGAGAAATCCAAATAAATGGGGAATGTGTCCATGGGACACAGATGATGCCCGGGTTGCATATAACTTTATAAAGGGACATAATTCAAGAACTGTAAAAGTGACGCTACCCAAATTTGTATTTGATCTGAGTTTTGTGGTAATAAGCATTGTTTATAATATAAGTTTCATAACATTTAGAGAACGGAAACGAAAAATTCAGCAAGTTTTCCATTTGTAAAGGAGCATAACTCTAGAACGGTAAAATTGACGCCACCAAAATTCAAACTTGATCTGTGTTTTGTGGTAATAAGCATTGTGCGGACGTACGTGCATACGGACAAGGGTAAAACTTAATTCCCCCTCCTCTACAGATGGGGCATGAAAACTAAATATCAATTTTGAGTGACATTACATTGCATACATTTTTTCACTAACCTCTTTACTGTTTTAAATAATAGTATACATGCATATATGTATGTATCTTTATCTGTTGGAATCTTGTCTCTGCGATATAATCTTTGCCTGAAAATACAATTATACATAAATCAAATATGTGGAGAATGAAAATGAAACAGTAATCCTATGAAATACTAACAAATAATCACTGTATTACAGGATCAACACTTTTATTGCTGTTCTTCATCATGACAGCTATTGGAAGGTCTGCAAGAAAACTTCAGCAGCTTACTTGCATGTATTTAACTCGTCAAAAGACTACCTTTACATGCTTAACTAAATAGAGGGGCGGTAGGACAGGGTGTCATCCTGAATTCCCGAAAAAATAATCACTAATTCCTGAGTCCCTGTAAGGATATATCCTGAATTCCAGTGAAATTAAAGGCCAATCCTAAATTCCCGCGAAAAAAAGGACCTAATCCCGACGTCCCAAAAAAAGGTCTTCCGCCCCTCAATATAGCATTTGTACAGTTGCTGTATCAGTTACTTCATTATCAATACTAACAAAAAGAATAAAATGCTCCGCTGGGCGCAGCTTGATACAACCGCAGAGGTCGAACCCTGACCAGTAGGGGCAAGTATGGACACAACATTCAAGCTTGATACAGCTCTGAATTTGGACTGTGATTAAATATTTGACACAGCATAGGTTTCTGACACAGAATGAATGTGGTCTAAGAACTTAAAAAAATTTAATTTACCTATTATGGTCCAATATCCAAAATCTAAATACATGGTTAGATTCAGCATATCAAAGAATCCAAAGAATTCAATTTTTGATGAACTCAAACAAAGTTTAATTTTGGACCCTTTTGACCTCAATATGGACCAATTTGATAACAGGGCCCAAAAATCAAAATACATGGTTAGATTCAGCATATCAAAGAACCCCATATATTCAATTTTTGTTGAAATCAAACAAAGTTTAATTTTGGACCCCAACTTGGACCAACTTGAAAACTGGGCCCATAATCAAAAATCTAAACACATATTTAGATTCAGCATATCAAAGAACCCCAAGAATTCAATTTTTGTTAAAATCAAACTAAGTTTAATTTTGGACCCTTTGGACCTTAATGTAGACCAATTTAAAAAAAAACTGAACCCAAAATTAAAAATCTAAATACACGGTTAGATTTGGCATATCAAAGGGCCCCAATAATTCAATTTATGATGAAATCAAACAAAGTTTAATTTTGGACCCTTTTGACCTCAATATGAACCAATTTGATAGCGGGGCCCACAAATAAAAAATCTAAATACATGGTTAGATTCAGCATATCAAAGAACCCCATATATTCAATTTTTGTTGAAATCAAATAAAGCTTAATTTTGGACCCCAATTTGGACCAACTTGAAAACTGGGCTCAAAATCAAAAATCTAAATACATGTTTAAGATTCAGCATATCAAAGAACCCCATATATTCAATTTTTGTTAAAATCAAACTAAGTTTAATTTTGGACCTAAATGTAGACCAATTTGAAAACTGGACCCAAAATTAAAAATCTAAATACATGGTTAGATTCGTCATAACAAAGAAATAAATGTGGTCAAAGATTTTTACAAATCTAATGCGCCAAACTGTGCAATTAAAGATTACTTCTTGAAATTTTTCAATATTTGAAATTTGAAAAAAAAAAAATATTTGAAGAATAATTCTTTTTAATTTCTGAAATCTGAAATTAGAAAAAATTGCCCCCCCCCCCCTAATTTCTTTTTACCCCCCTCCCCCCCTTTTCCCCCCAAAAAATTCTTTCCCTCAAGATATGGTCATAATCTCAATTCAAATTTCCAATGGAGTTTGCAACCATAATTAACCATTTAAATTTACCATAGTGCTAACTTAAACTATTTTATAATAGAATTTAAAATATGGTGTCAAATCTTTCATATGGATTTTTTTGTAAAAAAAAAAAGATGCAACATTTGCAGATATTTTTACTTGTCTTCCTTTATAAATATGCATTTCTTTTAACATAATTTAAAAACAGTGTAAGGGAGGTAATTCAAATGATGTATTTGATATATCTCCCTTACACTGCTTTAAATTATTGTCTGGAAACTAGAACATGCTTATTTTTGGCCCCTAATTCCTTAACTGTTGGTACCATAACCCCCAAAATCAATCCCAACCTTCCTTTTGAGGTATTTAAACTTATGGTAAAATTTCATAGAGATCCATTCACTTAAAGTAAAGTTATAGTGCGAAAACCAATGTGTCTTCGGACGACGACACCAATGTCATACCAATATACGACCGCAAATTTTTTTGCGGTCGTATAAAAATTTAGTGACTTTAGATTTAATGTGCAGGGAGTGGGGCCAGGGCAAAGGCAATAAAATGCTTCGCTGAGCGCAGCCTGATACAACCACAGAGGTCGAATCCTGAACAGTTGGGGCAAATTTGGACACAATATTCAAGCTTTAATACTGTGCGAATTTGGATTATGATCAAGTTTTTAACATAATATAGGTTTCTGACACAAAATAAATGTGGTCAAAGATCTTAAAAATCTATTGTGCAATACTGTGCAATTGAAGATTTCTTCTTGAAACTTTTCAAAAATTTGAAATTTGAAAAATTTTCAAGAAAAAAAATATGAACCATTAAAAAATATTGAAAAAAAAATCCCCCCCTATTTTTGAACAACACCCCCTCCCCCCCCCCCCTTGGAGCAATTACCCCCAAACTCAATCCCAGTCTTCCCTTTGTAGTATTGATGCTTTTAGTACAATTTTAGAGAGATCCATACACTTAAACACAAGTTATTGTCTGGAAACTAGAAAAATGCTGGTTTTTGGCCCCTTTTTTGCCCCCAATTCCTGCATGTTTGGGACAATTACCACCATACTTTATCCCAGCATTCCCTTTATGATATGGAATCTTGTGGTACAATGTCAGAGTGATCCATACACTTACACCCAAGTTATTGTTCGGAAACTACAAAAATGCTTGTTTTTGGCCCCTTTCCTAAACTGTTGGTACCATAACCCCCCAAAATCAATCCCAACCTTCCTTTTGTATTGAACCTTGTAAAATTTCATAGAGATCCATTCACTTAAACTAAAGTTATTGTACGGAAACCAAATGTGTCTTCTGGACGACGCAGATGACGACATCATAGCATTATACGAACCCGAAAAATTTTTGCAGTCGTATAAAAAAAAGACATTAGCTATCAAAGACTTTGTAATTCTACAGTACATGTCAGAGTTCAAGTTCAATTGGTGGACACATATTTGACATCTATGCACTTAAGAAAATGTTCTTTCCAATTAGCCTTTCTTTCCTCACTCCTAAAAGAATGTTCAATTTCCCTATCATTAAATGGAGTCTCAATTTTGATGTTGAAATATCACAACCTGAAATGACATTTTTTGCTTAAATGATAAACAAGCACATGTATTCATGTTACCTGATGTATGCCCTTCTCAAGGATATCAAACAGGTCTAGTCTAGTAAAGAATTTATGAGTCTGCTATGATTATGGTATCTACTGATCAATTAATTAGTCTACATAGAAAAGAAAGACTGATTAATTAGATAAAAACACTCCTTATTGTGTTAAAATAAATACAAATCCCTCAATATTTATCTTATTTGCTTTTCATTTGTAATGAATTCTAATACAAAAAAAAACCCTCCCCAAAAAGAAAACCTAAAAAAACACAACACATTTAATATAAATGTATCATCATAAATTTAAAAGCAAGGCACACAAACAAAGAAACGCTTTTCCCCAAGATCAATAGAGGATTGTGAAGAATGAGGATGTAATATTTATTTAGTATTTTACATCATGTTGTGAAGAAAAAAAATTTGTTCTTAGTTCCGCCATTAGCAAAGAAAGTTACATGCATGCTAACACCTGGTACAAACAATTTTGAACACATTTCTTGGTACAGAAGTAAAGCACAAAGTCCAAGTCCATTGTATTTCAAATAAATAATATTTTGAACACAGTATAAAATATTTACTATTCAAGGTAAAACAATTAATTCAAAGTGAAAGTATACATTTTCTGTACACTAGCTAAAATATAGCATTGTTACCAGTTCATTTCAAGCCTCAATGAAAAGTAAAATCCTGAATTATTTATATCAAGGCTACTGTCTCAAGCTTCAATACCATCGATGGATTTTGTGCCATGTGTGCCTTGACAACAAGCCAGTTGTTTACTCCTCTGACAATATCAGAAATAAGATGACACCGAAATCAATACCGCAGCCTGAAGATGGAAAACGCTTCTAGAAAAACAATGTATGTATTGATATCTAATACAAGTAGCTACTACAGCAACAGTTAATGAGAGACAGAACTTGGAAATGCAGGAACCAAGGCAATCAACAACACAGATCTCATTATTCTTATCTAAACATTTAGCTCGCCAATATAGGAAATTCTTTCTTAGCTTAGAATTGAAACTGGAGGAACATCAATGCATACAGAAAATAGAGACAGAAAGAAACCCTACAAAAAGTTAACATTCATGACTGCCCAATAATCTATACTACTAAAATAACGAGGTCCAATTTGTTAGCCGGCATGGGGTAAAAACGACGAATCAAAGAATTCAACTTTATATATATAACTAATATAGGACAATGGTGTTGATTGAAAATTACACCATTCCAGGCCCTTTTGTTTTAAATATAATTAATATTACCAAAAATTATCAAGTTCCGGATCGAACCCGATACTGATACCAATTCATAAATAGTATATGTCAAGTGTTACCTATTACCTAATCTGTACGTTCCACATATGTCAGGCGCACCACCAAACGGTGTATTAGGGATTGGCTATATACACAGGTTATAATCATTGTATCCTATTGTAGTACTTTAATCAGCATGAATTTATCACATGACAATATGAATACTAAAAATCCAGACTTAAAATAAGGGTAGGTACCGTTTCCAATTTGTTAGCCGGCATGATGTAAAAACGGCGAACAAAAGAATTCAACTTTATATATAACTAATATAGTTGTTTAAATTACACCATTCCAGGCCCTTTTGTTTTTCGAAATAATAATTAGTTCCAGGTCGACGGGTTCAAAC